AGGGGTGGTGAGCGTCAAAGAGATCCGTGCGTCACCGTGTGCTTACAGGTAAACCAACACCGCTGCCTGCGCGGCTCCTCCCGGGAAAAGCGAGACGGCCTGCTCACCTGGTTGTTCCGGAGACTAGCGAGAGCACAACAGAAACATGTGGGGCGGACGCTTCGGGTTTCAGCCTGCTCACACAAAACGAGTGAACGAGTTCAGACTGAGGTGCCCCGCCGAAAGTTTGAAGCGAAGTTTAAACTTCCAGGTGGCTCGTAGGGGGAGGGCTGCTGTGAATTTAGGCTGCGGTGGTTCATTACAGCCCGGTCTGTGTTGCCCGCCGTGTGCCCGCTCTCAGAGCCGCTGGACCACCTCGCTCTCCAAAAAGAGGGAGTTTCTCTCCGCCGTGTTTCCAAGTTGGCTTCCTCCCACTCGCCTGGGTGATTTTTTTTTACTCCAGAGTTAAGTGGGCGGAAACAACATACGATAGTTCCTGTCGGAATTTTCAAAATAAATGTAACAACAAGGACGACTTTAAATACCCAGTTTTCCACGATTTCTCATTTGTATATTTTAACCTTTAATTCATGTATTTTAATTTAGTTTATCAGTCTTTTCATGCTGGATGAGGCCAGTAATAGTCCAATAGATCATTATTATTATTATTATTATTATTATTATTATTATTATTATTATTATTATTACTACTACTACTACTACATTTATTATTTATTAACTTTACTCATGTTTTTAAATAATTACGTGTGCAAAATTATCGAGACACTGTTTTCTATGCCATTGATGCTGTTAAGTAACCGGCATGGAAAAACAAATGTATAATATTTTGAAATTAAACTTCCCGTATCACTCTGGTTACTTCACCCTCTTGTTCCTCGGGTGCAGCTTCCGGTGCCCGTGCCTGATGTGGGATAAGGAATACAACACCGCGACCCTCTGGTTCAACCTGAGCACTGTTACCTTATACAGAAACCTTACATATCACACAAATAATTCAGATTTTTATTCAAATGTTTTATATTTTCAATATCTTAAAGTTGCTTTTATGGAGAAGATTTACAAAATGAACATAACTGGTCCAAAAGAAACACATGTCAGATTTTTTTTCACTCTGTAATTCCTGCACGCTTTTACGTGTTTGCAGATTACTAACCCAATTAATGTTGTACTATCTCTCAGTTCGGTGTTATGCATACAAAAAGCAACGATTCACAACAACAGTCGTCTTTATAGCTTAAAGTAAAGACTCTACAATACTGAGGGGACCTCACAGACCTCAGCAGGAATGCATGTCCCTGTTAACACCTTCTGTGTGTTCACATCACTCTGACCACGAGGTGACGGCCCCTTGCTGGCGCCACCGTTGGGGATATGTGTGGGCCCAGAGCCACGTTGCTGGTCCACTTGGCCCACGGATGACTGTGGCTGACAGAAACACTTTAGAGGATTAATAGAGGGTTAGTAAATCCTTTTCAAGGGGGCAGATATAGAAAACAAGTTCATTCACAAAATGAATTCCTGAGGGAGGAAAGAGAGGCAGTAGTCCAGCTCTTATTTGAAGTGTCTGAGGCCATGGTGTCAGCTCCCATGCACTAATTAACTCTGCTGCTAGTCACTTACCTCTTAGAAACAGGAAAAAAGGGAATCCGGCAGTTCTCAGCAGAACCCAAAACCACGAGTATGGGTTCATATAAAGCTTCACATTAAAGCTCTGACATCCTGAGAGATTAGCAGCTAGCAGACAAACCCCCTCCACGCTGATTTGTACCAGGTGGGAGGAGGAAAACTCTCCTCTCTCTCACACACATCTTAGTAAGACATCTATGTTCCCTGAGTTCCCACACTCACACTGGAGTCTGACGTTGTAAGATCTCGCTAGGTGGAAGAGCGTAAATGGATAAGACGAAGATATTCAAGTGAATTCAATTCTGAGTAGAAAATGGTTTTATTTCTTTTATCAAGATCAGACACCAACTGGGGTTGTTTTAAGTATCAGATCAAAACAGTGAAATGAAACGCGCTTTCTACTTGTTGAAATTTGAGCACTTGATCACATTCTATCCTTTACATTAATTACATAGAATGAAATGAAAACAAAGGCAAAATAAGGGAATTAGAAAAAAAGACATTCCAGTTGTTTTTGAGTAGCGACACTAAAAACACAATCAAACACAGAAAACACTCAAAAATCTTACCATCGTCACACATCCCCAATCACAGCATTACAGAAAGATGTGCTCAGAGTTGGCAACTCAAACCTGCAGAGTGGACTAACATACAGCAGTCAAGTCCTGCATGGCACCAGAGGCTGTTCAGGATGAACAGTTCAGTCCTGATTGGTTTACTTTTTCACACATATATATGTACATACGCAAGTTTTTTTTTTTTTAAGGAGTGCTTTCCATGGTTTACACGATTACACCTGTGTCTTTCTCTGCAATGCACGAGATCAGCTGTAGTGGTTAAAGCAGCAGCTATAATTTCAGTTACAGTCACGTCAGTAGAATAAACATCTTCACCCTGTTTCTCAAAGTTTGAAGCTACACCCCTAACATCGCAATAAATCTCAACGGGCAAATTATTAAAAGGACAACGTTACATGACGTCATTTCAAACCCAAAACCTTTTCATCTTTATCTACTGTCGAAGGCAAAAATAAATCTACAGTCTACAAAGTATCTTTTATTTACATGTAAGAAAAACTTAATCTTAACTAAAAATCGGTTATTACTGTCAAAAGGTGGCATTTATGGCGAGAGGCGAACTCAAAGTGCAGAGTCAGTGATTATGAATTAAGGGCAGAGATGAGGTACGGCAGGTTTTCTTGGCCACAATTAGGAGGCACCAAGGCAACAAGACTTTAGGACTACGACGAGGGAAATGCAGAAATGTGGCAAGGGGAAAAATATCAGACTGGTTACGTAGGTATTCATCCTGATGAGTGGGAATCTACGAGGGTCTTTGGGTCAGGCGTGTGAACAAAATGCGTGCTGGACTCGACACTGTCCGACGGTTCTGTTGCCGAAGGCCAAAGGGAGGAAGAGGAGGGGGAGTAGTGTCTTTGGATGGGTGAACAGAACCACCTGCTGCTCAGTTTCCAGAGTAGAGATCCACAGTGCTGGAGCTGAGCCCCCGGCTCTCCCTGAAATTACTGCCCCCTCGATTCTGGCAAGGAAACAAAACAGGTTCAAGTGGAGCATTCAAAAATAAATAAATACAACAACAAAATGCAAATCTTTACAAAAACTGATCATCACCTGGAACGTTTCATCACTGGATTTGTTCAGATAGTTCAAGGAAGAGGCTCGCTTCATACTGATGGACAAAGAAAACAAAGATTAGGCATTTGTTTCTTTGAGAGGAGAGCACACACACACAACCAGGCCTGACCACGTTTGGGGAGTAAATGTCCAATAAACTGTGACCTGCTAATTAAAGTCAGTGTAGAGAAATTACTCTAAGAACATATGTTGAAAGGTTTAATGTGGCTTATCATGTAAAGGGCTCTGTGGTGTCATTAAGACTAGAAAAGCCCTCTGAGAACTTGTAGAAGCAGTACATTTCTTTGGAATCATTTATAAAGTAAAACATCCATCACAAGAGAGGATTGCTTGAGTTATTACTTGGTGCTGCGAGGTTCAGGCGGTACGTTGCCCTGCAGTTTCTTCACCAGCATCTCGCTGCTGCGACGCAAAACATCCCTGAGCTTCCCCAGAGAGCCACTGCGATAGAGGGTTCCACTGCCATCCTGCAGACACACACAGATGCTCGTTAGCTCATCCACACTCCCCGCTGCAAACATGCCCGTTCTTATCATTAACTAGTAATCATCAATTATCAAGATGCATGTTTGTGTTTCGCTTGAGTCGTGTAGCACATCACGACGCGTTATAATCGGCTGCTCCCGGCCAAACGACGTGTTCGTGGTGCCTCACACAATTAAATTAGGTGTCACAGAGTTGTTCACACGGAGCTGGAAGCATCTATCCAGAATCAGTCAACTTTCATTTACATGCAAGTCTTTATAGTTTGATCCAAAGGTTGTGCTGAGTGCCATATATATATATATATATATATATATATATATATATAGTCATTATCACATGGCACAACATCTTCATTGAGACAATTAGCTTTTGCGGCTTTTCTTGACATCTCATATTCTCGCTGTGCACTTATTACTTCACTCACACACAGAGATCTGTCGTATCGTTTGATTGATTTGATTCATAAGGAAAACAAACATGAAACTTCATGTTGGAAGGAAATCGGCAACCTTGCAGTCTGATAAATTGAATAATCTGAAGTTCATTTTCAGCAGAAAGAAAGCAGAGATTGATTTTAAGAAGATATGTAACCATGGTTACACGAGTGGAGTAGATATGCAGTTTTAGGTTCCTGGGACTCGGTAACATGGCAAACCTCTGATGATCTTCATACCCAAACTGTGACACACTTCTATATAAGCCCAACAGAAACCAGCGTAACCAGTTTAATTTGTCATATTTACCTTAAATTAATAGCTTTATTTGTAAGATTTACTTAAATATGACTGTTTTATTTTGTCAGTAGCATAATAATAAAAATCCGGATGTTCTATTCAGACAAATTTTAAAATGACCTTAAAGTTAATTGCAATAATCCATCCATTCATTCATTTATTAGATTCTCCTGTGTGTGTGTGTCTAAGTGTAATAGCAACCAACTTGTAAAGTGTCGGTTTTAATTTCTAATCAGCAAATACAACATGTACTTGTCTTGCTTTCCCAGTGTGTCCTTTTCTCCTTGAGGCGACTGCTGTTGTGATTTGGTGCAATATAAATAAAACTGAACTTTTTCTATAAAGTGGCTGTCACAATGCACTACTACAGGAGTACCAGCAGAGGGAGCTGTGTGTACAGATGCGATTTCTGTTGCTTGTTTGGTTCAGCAGCTGACATTAAAACCTCAAAGCAGGAGTGTGTGTGTCTGTTTGCATCAGAAGCAGAGAAAAGACAGACTTCACAAATGGAAAAACTTTATTTGAGAATACCAACAAGTGTCGATGCAATAACCTTCACAATGCATAATGGTAATTATAATGCAATCCTACTTACTAAGTGCGTTATAGACTTTTCCATTTATGTTCTTTAGGAAACTGAAAGTCACACTACATATGTCGAGAACAGACAGTTCAATAAATAAGCATTCCACTAACACAACAATATTGCCATAATTATGTGATGGACACAGTCTTTTATTATTTATTTATTTTGTTCATAGTTGCATTAGAAGTATAGGTGTTCGCATGGGAAGGAATGAAGAATCAAGGCGAGTAGCATGATGAAAAGCCATATAGTGAATGCACTTGTCAACTATAAATACAGCCTACTATTACACTTCCAAGATGTTAAATCATTTACATTCAGTTAGTTAAACATCTGAAATAATGTTGATCTTGAGGAAACACTCGCACTGTACTCCTGGTGTCTAAAAACATGATTCACCGACTGTTTACTTGCAAACAACTGTGTGAGGAAAAAGTCCATTAAACTCTGTGTTCAAAATACAGCATCCATAGCCAGAGTGGGCGCTGCGACTGTACCACCAAACATACACATGAATACACACTACAACTACTGTAGGATCCAGGTTTCTGTTGATTTACAATGCTATCCTCTACTCCTACACCAACAGATCAAGGCAATTGTGGGCATTTATGCCCATTTATTAAACTATAGAGATCACTCAGGTGGCCAGTGTTTGTGCTAGTAGGTCTCTGCTATTGTGTGGGCTTCACAGCGTCAGCCAATGTTGCCAATTCCCTTTGTAAATGCACGTGACTGTCGAGCCTTTGCTAAAGCTTGAAACGGTCACACTGAAGCGAGTAAGCAGAAGCTGAAAATAAATTACCATGGCGACACAACAGCTTGCTGTGATCTGGCTAATCTGCCGTCACGTTTTGGCCTCCATCCTGTTCCGGTCCCGTCACAGCGGGCAACGCAATGTTGACATACTACTGCCTTTATATTGAGCCACATAATAATAAAGTATTTAGAAAATGTAAACAATTTCATACAAAATAAACCAAAACCAAAACAAATTAATAGCAAATATATCTATAAACACAAAAAAACAACAACCCCAAAACAAAATTGGCAACACTCCCTTTACTCTTCCCGCTGACTGTCAACGTGTCAAACTATACAGTACCATTCATTTTAAAACTTGTTAAGCATTTGATCGCAGGCGTTAGTTCAAACTGTCAAATACACACTGGCAAAAAACCCAAAAAAGATACAATTATGGCTAAATACAGGCACCGGGTTGGATGCTAGCTTTGACGTTAGCTGTCATTTGTTGTGCTCAAGGCAAACAAATTTGGAGTGAGAACAATGCAGAGTAACCGTGGAAGTTCATTATCTGTAGCGCTTTATCTGGTTATGTGCTGGAGTGATGTCTGGAGCTATTCTGCTGTTCTGCCTTGTTTCAATAAATGGCTGCTCCTCTTATGAGCCAATAAATAAATCTGCTGTGCCCCCGTGGTAAAGACACACGGGTGTGAATAGAGGAAAAATGTGCGAGTTACTTCCTCACGTGGAAAGATTACACACAATGACCTTTTCTTTTCTTTTTTTCTTTTTTGTGACAGAAAGAGTTGAAGTTCCGACATGGGGAAGGGGTGACGCAGGTTAGTGAGAGGGGAGGACAGGGAGAGAGAAAGTAAGGAGGAGAAAACAGAGCAGAGGTGAGAAGACCAAACGTCCCAGCAGCTGTCAGTTGAACATGGGAGAGAGGTGACAACCAGGAGGGGGGCTTTCTGAGTCTCTGCCGCAGGAGAGGGGGGAGCATCAGGAATGGCAGAGGAGCTGTTGGACAGAGAAGGCCAGAGGGAATGACAACACACATCCTTTTGCTATTGTGTTGGGGAAGGAGAGAAGGATGGAGGAATAGTCTTGATGGCTTAGGCCTGATAAAAGAGAGAAACAGACAAAAAGAAAAAGAAAAAAAGAAGGCACACATCGTAAGATTAAGAGCTCTGGGTTGGGCTTCCTACTCTAGACATCTACGCTTTGATAAATTTCCCATGACTTGCACTAGATTCAGTAACTTCCTGCTGATTATTCTTTTTCTAAACCCTAATTTAGTAAACGGTAAATGATACGGGAGCATCAGGCTCTGATTCTCTCTGAAAGATTACATCTGTCTTAGATGCTACACTAGCAGGTAAGCGAAGCAGTAGGTGCTGGCTGCAGTCACCGTGACTCAGCTGTTTCTCTTTCCTCTTGGGGTACCAGAAAGGCTGAACTTGGCACACAGTGCCCAGCCGGTGACTGTGCACTGCAGACGTGAGACATCTGCAAGCAGCAGCACTGAAGTGGGAATACTTCGATAACTATCACACTGATGGTGGGACATGAATAAACCTAAGTAGTATACGTTTCACAGAAGCTGAATCGAACACACGATCCTCCACCTACGTTCTCACCTGACTAACAAACTAATCTATTCTACTCATCGAGTACCTAAATACCAACCCACCCAAGCTTATTGTGTGGAGAGGGGGAGAGTACAATCCACTGAATGAGAAGAGCAAATTTGACTGACAGGCTGATTGGTTGTCATGGCAAGAGGAGTCGACATGGAAGCACGTTATTGACAAACACAAGGGGGGGAGGGGGGATGAAAAAAAAAGTCAGAAGGTGAAATCTGGAAAACATGCAGCTAAAAAGGCAGCATATTAAAGCAGACCACTTACAGACACACAGGAAGTGGAATCATGCATTTTTTTTTTTTTTAAACAAGAGCCACACATACACGTCAGTAATTAACCTGTACACAAGCACAAACGCGCTGACAAGCTGTCGTCTCATGGTTATTTCCTAGACAAGCGCCACTTTAATAGCAAAACAGGAAGTGCTTTTTCAGACATCTGAAGCATGTAAACAACTTCCACAACGTTAATGACACAGCAGACTGAGTGCAGAAGAAAGAGGAGATGAGACTTTAAGCAAAGGTGAGTGACAGCTCGGTGAACCACATCACCACGCGGCAAGACACAAGTAGACTCTTTCCTACACTAATCTTTGAAAGACAAAATAACCATTTTAAGCTGCGTAAAATGAATGGATGGATGGAATTTGTTATAAATAAAAACAAAACTTGCTTAGTCAAAAAGCAGAAGTAAACATGACTAGAAAATAGTCAGAAAAAGCATGAGAATGTCATGAATATATTTTCTGTTTGAACTGAGTCAGTGTCACTCCTGCTGCTATAGCTACACGCTGGCTAATGAAATGCAGGCGCACAAACACACAAACGGCAATTCTCTGGATGCCAGGCCATGTTTCAAAGACAGACAGGAGCACGCTCAGATGCAGACACACATGCCGTTAACATTTGCTGCAGTGCGCTGTGAAGCAGTGTGGAGTAGCTGTGTTACGCTTATGAACATGTGCAGAGCAGCAGACATCAGGTTAAAGAAAAGACACTTTTCAACCAAGTGAAAACACACTGAACACATGACGTGCGTTAGTGTGTGTTGTTAAGGGGAGGGGACGCCCAGCGGGCTGGCATTGCTGCATGCATGTTTGGACTGGGTTGGCGCAGCGGAGGGCGTGGCTGCACTTAAGTGAGGGGTGAGGCACAGGCTCAGATGAGGCATCCCTGCCAACGCTCTCATGCCTTATGCAAGTCTCATTATTTGGGGGTGAACTGCGCCCCAGCAACAGCGGTGCCAATTTGACTGCATAGAGCGTCGTGTTTTATAGGCTATTTTCTCACTGTAAAAGGCCAGAAGTGCAGCTAACAGCCAGAGTGAACATTACAATAAGGCAATAAAGTAGCAGGATGAACTCTTACATATCAGCCACTCTGATTACTGAGCAGAGGGACAAGCAGAGGCACGAGCACCGACGATATCAGGAACCTTGTCAGTTGTGCTTAATGGCAGAAACATGACACATCCTATTAGAGATTTAGACAGGCTATATCTCTGAGCATATGAATGTTTAATGTGTTGCCAGGGTGCCACAGTCTAAACCTGTGCCTCATAGTTACTGCTTCACTTGTGCAAAAGCATCGCCAGAAAAACAGCCTTTATTAAAAAGGTTAACATGGAGTCCAAAACTGAGTTTTGATGCTGTCAAAATAAAGAGTGGGTCAGCATGCCAAGACACTCAATCAGCGTTACACTTTGAACTTGCAGCTAAATCTCATGGTGGTATATTCACAGGGAGATGGTGGACTGGTACAGGTATAGCTCACTGGGTGGAGCCAAAATGTGCTTCAATGTGATGACTCGCATAATTACAAGGTCATCCAGGTGATTTTGTAAAGTCTGGACTCATTGAGGGCTTCCTGCCTGGCTCTGAGCCAGCGGAGTCGGTGTCCTCACTGCACTAAGCTAACAGAAAGGAATCCTCTTGGCTCTCCTTTTAAACACATAACGCGTCTTTGTCCTTTATTCTGAGCGTCCTGTACCAGTACACCCTCTCTGTGATATTACCAACACAGCCTCGTTTTTCCAGAGAGGCCAGTGGACATGTTGACTCAACCATAGTGGATTTGTACTCACCCCGTTCCACTCCACGCCCATACTCACTTCCTCGCCGGTCTCAGAGCCGCTCTCATACTTAACGCTGGCGAGACTGTCCCTGCTCTTCCGCCTGTCGCCCTCTGTATCTTTGAGGATCTCCACCACACGTGTCTGGTGGATGGGGTCGATGCCCTGATGGGTGCAACACACAGATGCAAGAAAAAAGAAAAACAAAACAAAACAAAAACAGTCAGAAGTAGCACTGATGTAGCCGTCAGCATGTCAATATTGGCAGGAGTGCAAAGTTAAATGGAGGAATTAAACGTGATTTCATGTTTCCTTTCCCCTATTAATGCTTTCAAAGCACTGGGACACGTTTTAAATGACTGTGAGATGGGAGTGATGTTAGGGGAGAGAAGTGGAGGCTCTAGTTAGAGACAAATCAACTTACTGTGTTGCTCTGGATCCATAGCAATGTAGGGAAAGGGAAAGAAATATCATGAGATTCACTGTGCTAACATGGGGAATATATTACTATTTTCACTTAGAAAACTATGCTGACCTGCTTGCGAGACCTTGCAGCGCACTCTTCCAGGGTCTCAGCAGCTTCTAGCTTGCCCTGGCGGCGGTACAGAGCCCCCAGGTTCCTCAAGGTGGTGTTTACTGTAGGGCTGGATGCAGAGGAAAGTTTTGTTATTTGAATCTGAACAAAGCAAATAATGTAAGTTACATAAGTTACACAAGCCTAAAATAATAATTGTTTTACAAAAAAGCTTCCGATACAAGTTAGTGACATACAAAGCAAATGAAATAATTAATTTCTGCCTTTGTCACGTGACCATGTTGTAAAAAACTCTTATCAGTTTCCGCCTCACCTATTGACTTTGCAGGCCTTGTACCAGCCTCCGTACTCTCCGTATGGAGTATTGTCTCTGTGCCTGCCCTGGAAGTAAATAAGAGAGAAGAGGAAGAAAAACGTGAAGGGGTGTGGTTCAAATGAATGAGCAATATTGTGTTCACGTTTAACTATCATTTAACTTCCGGGGATTAGTTCAAGGATTGCATTTCTATTATAACGAAGTGGCATGCTTTCCTCATTTCTCAGCCTTGTGTGAGAAAAGCTGTTTGAAACAGGTTTTGTTTGTTTAGCTTTTGCTCAAATTCACGCGAGGACGGTTACAGAGAGCCGCTCACCTTGCTCTCCTCCCTTTCCTCGGCGTGCATCCAGATGGGCTTGTTGTCAGCTGCAGACAGACAGGAGAGATGGTGTATACATTGGGTTTTTAAATAATTAGCCTCATGCCTGGAAAAGTGAAATCAGCTACTGGGTGATTTAAGGGTTTCCTAATCGGTGCACCAACTCTACCCGTGTGGTGGAAGAGTGAACGTGTGTCGCTTTGGCTAAAGAGTGAATCTGGAAACATATGTGACTGAGCCATTTCAGAAGGAGGCAGAGCTGCAAAGGGGTAAAGGAATTATTAAGTATTCAAGTGCTGTACTGCCACCAGTGGGTCAAAAATGAATGTGGGTTCAACAGGTTATTCCAGTTACTACCATAATGGATTTTATAACATTTCTGAGGCTACATATTTTTCCAAGTATTCACCAGAATCCATCTAAGATTTTAGACTGATGTCACAGTAGATCTGACCAAGCATTAAAAAAGTCAAGCGTTTTAACTATTTAAGCCAGGGGTCCCCAATCCCAGTCCATGAGGGCCGGTGTCTCTGCAGGTTTTAGATCTCACCCTGGGTCAACACACCTGAATCACATGATTAGTTCATTACCAGGCCTCTGGAGAACTTCAAGACATGTTGAGAAGGTAATTTATCCATTTAAATCAGCTGTGATGGATCAAGGATGGATCCAAAACCTGCAGGGACACTGGCCCTCGTGGACTGGGATTGGGGACCCCTGATTTAAGCCAACAGAAATGAGAGACTTAACAGGAAGTGAGGTCATGACTGAGGAAAGTCTAGCACCCATCTTGCTGACACCCTGGGACAGTTACTTACACCTCTGTGCATGTGCGAGCACATCAAATATTGGGCTGATTCGGATTTCCAGGTGAGGTGGTGTAAAGAAGGGAATTTATTTATGACATTTTGTTTGCAAACTTGCAACTCATTTAAAAGATCATTACTGGTTTAGGCAAACATCTGCACCTGCTTGATGTGCTGGTGGTTTAGTAATAGAGTAGAGTACGAGTGTAACAGCTTTAATAAATTTACTGCAGATTCGTCCCCAAACAAATTACAGACAGTAGAAAAGCACCATTAAAATTGTTTTTAATGGTGTAGAGAGGAAGACGATACTACTGTTGAGGTAATAAAGACAAAGAAGATAAAACATGATTATTGCATAAAGTGCTGCCACCTTAAGAAGAAAGAATATTTATCGTTAACTGTTGCTGCTTCAAGTTGCGTCACCTTAACCTTCAAAGCACTTTAGTATTAAAAAAAACCAAAAAAAACAAAAACAATCTTACAATATTATCAAGGTAAGTGACACACAAAGAATAAACCTCTCTGAAAAAGTTGGATGTTTTTGTCAAAAGGCGTCAGAGCGCTGCTTTGTGCCAAGTGACTTTTATTCCTTTTTCAAAGCAGTCAGTCTAATCCGTGGAGGAAAGCCAACAAAAAGGTTTACTTTAAACCAAAAGAGAAGAAAATTGCAAGAGTTCATCTTTCAAAGCAAACTCTTTATTTCTTCAGAAAGATCGAGTCCTCTGAATGGTGAAGCTTGGTACCGTGCTTAGACACAAGTCCACTTTTTAACCACCTGTCCATCACTGCTTGCTGGTGTGGCACAAACAGTGGATGGATAAGAAAAGTGAAAAACAACAACAAAATAATGCTGAATTACTGAGCTGCAGTTCTCCTGAGATCATTTTATAGTCATTCACTGGTAAGAATAAAAATTCTCATTTGTACTAATATAATTAAACATTTACTGCTATACATGGACGCTCCAGTAGCCATTATATGACCTTACCATCAACAGATCCAAATTCTTTCTCATGAGCACGAGTCAGGATCTCTTTGTAGAGAATCTCCGCCTCCTTGTATTTCCCCTGTTTGAGAAAGCAGGATGCCTGAAGAACAAAGAGGTAAAAGGGGATTTTAGAGTTGAACCAAACGGGCTTACTGGCTCAGATTTTGCCTCCCTCGCTGTACATAAATTCTCTCCATCATCAGTGAGGCAGTGAGAACATAAGTGAAAAGGAAAGCCTTGAAGATGCAGCAGAACAGCAGATAAAAGACTGCTAACCTTGTGCTCTTTAAGCAATGCTAAGTGACACGAAACAGTTCTTTAAACACCTTTTGAGGTGACAAATCTTATGCTGCAAGAGTAAATTGATTGCCAACTTTTATAAAAATCTTGTGTTGAAGTAAGTAGTGCCCTTTTGGAAGAAAACGGGAAGGTAAAAAAAACATCAGTTAAGTTTAAAAGACATTTCAAGTGGAATCTTTGCAGGCTGGCACCAATATACAAGCTCAACACCCCCGCAGAGACCAAGGCTGACAGAACAAATGATCGAGTCTGTTGGCAACCAAAGCAAACTCTGCCTGCGTTTACCTCGTTACACTCACAGCTCAACAGAGACTGCAGTTCTTATCAACAAGTACAGCATTAGAAGTAAAAGGTTTGAAAGGAAGATGAGAAAAAGGACTATGCGAGTGGATTTCGTGTCAACTTCTCGCTCACCAGGTTGTTCTTGGTTTTGGCCACATTTGGATCATCTGGGCCCAGCCTGGACTCGTAGATCTCCAGGGCACGACAGTAGTAATATTCCACTTCCTCATATTTGCCCTGATTCTGACACAGCAGGGCCAGGTTGTTCAGCTGTTTGGCCACATCTGGGTGGTCCTTCCCCAGGACCTGACGGATATCAGAAAAGTATATGTTCAGGTTGTCTTTCTGCGTCAGTGCATCTCTCCTTTCTATAGCTCCACATCCTGTTGCTGCTTTCTCCAGGCAGCACGTCAGCCTGCTGCAGGCACTCAGGAGATCTAATAAAAGGCTGGCCGATCAATAGCGAGGCTACAGAATAGAGCTTTCGGGCAAAGAGAGACTCTTTGTACCATGCTGAGCTCGGTAGTTTTGTCATGTCTCCTATCCATCTCTTTCCTCGCTCCCCCAACGCCTGCTATCCATTTTCAGCTGCGCTCTCAATTAAACCCTAATTCCCTGCTGACAAAGGAATGGCCCCCAGTGGAAACTTCACAGACAATTTAAGAAAATCATTTGCTCTTTTTCCTATTTATAGTAGCTGGTATTACACTAGCTTTGACTGACATTTTGGAAATGTTACCACTGTTAATTACTTTATAACAATGGGCTAATTGTTCACTGGTTCAGCCTTGAGATGAGACCTCGATAGCAGTGCCCTGTTGGTGCAATCCAGGGATATGGCCTACCTTTTCTCTGATCTCTAGAGCTCTCTTACACAGAGGCTCGGCCTCCTTGTACTTCCCTCTCTTTCCATACAGCACAGCCAAGTTATTCAGGGTTGCAGCAACCTGGAAAAAATATAAATAAAATCCAGAATGACTGTACTGGCAGGTTAGATTTCAAAATTCACTGTTTTCAAGGAATTATCATAGTCCGAAAATGTATGCTGTTCAGTGTTCTCAGAAAAACCTAGATAGTAAGTGCCTTGTGACAAACTGCAAAGACCACAGTGCAGCATAGCTTTACAGGCTTCCTTTAGGCTTTGTGGGGAGTTTTAGTGCTTCGGTGTTAGTAGTCTTAAAAATCTGTGCACAAAAAGGAAACAGTGTCTTTTAACGTTTCCCTTTTGGTTGCTGTATTAAAACTGCAAGGATTCAATGGTTAATGTCGGATGTACAGGCAGACACTCAACACTGATAACTGATCTCTTCAAGCCTGCAGGCACATGGTCAAAAATCCATACTTTAATAGTCGGAAAAATCTATACAGGCTGATTGAGTAGGACAGTAAAAAGAATATTGCCTTCCTATTGAGTCTTTGGGAGTTATGGACAAACAAAAGATAACTAATCTGATCTGTCTAAACATGGATGAGTCCATATGACGATATGGTAGCCATGGCAACCGTGAAGTCTTACAGCAGGATGGTCCTTGCCCAGGGTTTTCTCACGGATGGATAGAGCGTCGTTGAGCAGATGGGCTGCCTCTTTGTATTTATTCTGATCCCTGTGCAAAGGAGAAACAGAGAACGCCATGTGTAGCTCAACAAATGAAACAGGATACACGGCAACGAAAAGCCAAACACAGTATGTTTCCTGACCTATACACCAAAGCCAAGATATTGAGCATGGTGGCCACATCAGGGTGATCATGCCCCGAGGTCTTCTCCAGGTCCTCCAAAGCTTGCTTGCACAGGGGCACGGCCACCTCGTACCTGCCCTGAGAGGCATACTGGATGACCAGGTTGTGCAAGGTTCTCAGACGTGCTGGGATCTCATAGCCTCCCTGCTGGGCTGCGACCATGGCTGCACTGTTATGTTGGTGCTGCACTGTGGGGGAGAAAGGAAACGTGCAAAATCAAAAGGTCAAATTGGCTCTAGTGAGTAGAAAACTGTAACACACACACACACCACTGTCCTGGAATAAGGTAGCCAGGTTATTTTACTCTGAGATCATGCATGACACAATTTATTCAATATTATCCCGACAGGGAAAGAAAGACAGCTCTCTCTTATTCAAATAATCAGATGAGTCATTGTTGCTGTTTGTTCTTACTTCCTTGGCCGTGCTCCTCCTCATCGTTGGGGAAGAGGTCATCCAGGGAGTCCTTTGGTGTTTCTCTGTCTTTCTCCTCCTGCTGAGAGGATGAAAAACCTGCCGTTCAGACTCTAACAAATAATTCAAGAGTTGCCTTTATCAGACATGTGAAATGTGTGTTAACGTCTAACAGGGAGAGATGAGGCAAGCCTGTTATTTAGAAAAGTGAAGATTTCATTTACATCACAAAGAGTACATTTCAAAAAATGAACAAAACAAATTATTTTAACAAATACAAAAATGGTAATAATCATCATCACCATAAACAATTAGGATGGGAACATTAAACAGACTATTCAAGAATTATTTCCCCTTGAAAGGATAAATGGGATTTTAAGGATAAACTGCACTCATCCATGTTCACTAAAAGATTTCTTTAATGTGGAAAATGGAAGACAAAAACTTTCCGGCTCTGGCTGGATGGGCCCCTGCTGAGCTAAGCAGTTAGAGGCTGTAATAGCCTGTAGCCACCATCTGTGACTAATATGGTAAGAAAATAGAGAGATTTATCCTTGACACCAGATCAATGAAGACCACACCAGAATGCATTCCTTCCTGGAATGAGCCAAAGTTTTCTTGTTTTAACGAAAACAGTGAGGTTTTTTTTCCCTTGCGGCCAATTATGCTGACAGTCTCGTGTCCTTCAGAGTTATATCAGCAACTACAAGAAAAACTAAAGTCTTTTTCCATTTCCCTTCTTAGGCTAAATCCAACTTGAATCTATTTAGCTGAAAATGTTCCAGTTAACAAGATAAATAAGGACGAATATATTTCCTACATGCCTCTTGCAATACAGACCATACACACAAAAATCAGTTATCTTCAAAGTACCAATCTAATCCCACATTAAGGCCTATAATCTTTGTATAATCATTACTTACAGTGGGTGAGACATCTTCATCGTATTTTTTGAGCTGGTTCATGAACTCCAGGTGCTTCTTCTCCTCTTCCAGCTGGGCCACGCTCTGTTCACTCTTCTGCAGCTTCTGCTGGGTGTTGGCCAGCTCATCCCGCAACCACTGGTTCTCCTGGCAAAGCCTCCTCACCTGTGCGCGCAGCTTCTGCTTTTCCGACTCCACCGCGTTCAAGTGGTTGGACAGGGCCATCATCACCTGGGATAGAGACAACATCGAAGAGCGGCGATATTTATCAAGGACAAAATGTTACGGTGACAGAGCGGCAGAGTATAAACTGGGTCTGAATTTCAGTGAATCATGATCACAGCACAGGCTCAGTATAGAATGAGGAAGCTGTGAGGAAGCAGGAACAACCAAAGAAGATAATAAAACAAATCTACCACTTTAGAAACCCTCCTGTTTGTCTGACAACTCTGATCTTAGAAATTGGAACCAATTTTATTTCACACACAAATTTTTCTTTCACTCATATCATCAGCGTGGTTAAACTGAATCTCCTCTTTAGGTTCAAACATACAACTCTGTAAATTCTTGTAACTTCTCAGTCATACCTGTGCTTCTCCCAAGCCCAATTCAATCATCTCCACTGACTTGCGGAGAAGATTGGACTTCTCGTGCACCAGGTTGGCCTCTTCATCCTTCTTTAGGCACTTGATGGTCTCCAGGAGGCTGTGAAGGATGGAGTTATGCTCGTTCTTCAGGGCTTCGAGACCCTGGATCACGAGCTTTGTGTTCGAGATGATCTCCTCCTGAGAAAGCTTCTCCAGCTTCTCTTCCCGTGGGTACACCATGGTGGACATCTTTTTAGCTCAGGGAAACCTGTAAAAGATGGGAGGAAAAGCCTAAGACACTGTGGGAAAATTCCAGCAGCAGCTGTAACAATTTCATAATGATGTGTCAAACATACAGCTGTGCTTGCTTAACACAGAACAGAACCTAAGAGCACAGCTGATTTGGCTCAGCTCACTGCAAATGTCAAAACACGTCTCAGTACAGTTCCTCTCTTTAACCAAATGCATCTTTAGTTTTTAATGATCATTTACACAATTAGCACTTAAGGCATTCTCTGATTATGTATGTGCCTAATTCTGACAGATGCCACATCATATCTACTCTGCTAATAAGATCACAACCTCATCCTGCAGCAAGGTGATGGCCATAAAAGGGGAACTGAATGCACGTTTATTGCTACAGCTCAGATTAGAGATTCAAATTTCATAAGAGAAGTACGTCAGCAGTTGTATAAGCACACAAATTGAGCACAAACAGAATCTATAAAGCTAAACATAAGAAAGAAGGGTGGCTACATAAAACATACATATATATATTATATTGCCT